AGGGTCTCAGAGACTTAAAAAATCAATGCCAAGGTGCATTAAAGCTGGTCTGACATGAACACCCAACACCTTGCAAGACCTTTTTTGATTTCTGACCATCCTGTGGTTTTCATGATCGTTTACATCATGTGGTTATTAGTAATGTTCTTGATAGAAGAGAGTAACTATATGATGACATAGGCGTTGGGAAAGAAACGTCTCACCGCTTTTGTTTTTGCTGTTGATTCATGCGAGGCAGCAATGTCTTTCTTCATCGTGCCACTTTATAGAAAAATCTGCTGCCATAGCTGAATTACTTAGAAGTCTCCTACTCTACGATCTAAGCCAAATTCCTTACAGCTTGTCACCTGCAGCATGCACAATAAAAGTGTAGCTGAAACAAAAATGTGTTTTTTTTTCCAGTATGTGTTAAATTTCCCCATGATTTTTGTAAATCCGTTGCGCAGTAGCAGCTTTGTCCTACTTCCTCTTTGCAAAAGAGTTGACTCATCATTTCTCTGTATCAGCTCCATGCGACCTTCCATCTTTTCATGCTACCCTTTTAGGAAATCCTCCATGGACACGTAATCTGAGAAACGTGCATCTTACAACTAGGTTCTTCCACATATATTGTTCTGTGTGAACTTCTGTTGTTTTAGTCTCAGCATCCATGCACATGAAACCCAGACACGTGCACATGATACGAGCCGACAGAACAGGATGTGCGGGCAGAAAAAAAACATGCTTGCATTTCTGCTCCATGTGCACAAATGTGGCACAGGACTGTAACAAGCACTTGCTCAATCCTCCCGATGTACTTGCAGTTGCTCAACATTTGCTCTCTCATCAAGTTGACTTTTGGTACTTTGGATTTGGGACAGTGGCTGATAACTTCTGTGATCCGTCTGTTTTGACACCAAGTCTCTGGCCTTGTGACAGTAGTGAAAGAAATACTCAGGCTTGTTGTAGAGCCAGTGGAGAACTGCTTTTTGGCATGTTGGACAAGTAATTATTTTCACTTTGCTGTGACTGAGGGAATTCTTCATTTCTCTATCCAGCTGTGGGGACCTCCAGGGTCCAACATATTGGATAAACAGAAGCTGTCAGTGTTCAACAGTATTTTGGTCAATCAGTCATTTGATGGGATGTCAGTACTCATATATGCAAAGGGGAGGAGTTCTCAACCACTGTTCCTTCACAGTCTTAAGCACTTGTGAGTCTGTGGGGAGGATCAAGCAAGTCTCAGTCACATGCTTGCAATAAATGTGTGTTCTTATGCAGCACTTTCCTACCTTAGTGGTACTCAAAGCACTTTACAATGTGTTTCTACTCAGACATGTTTGTAGTTGGTGGACTAGAGTGAAACATTTAGAACTACAGACACATGCTGGCTATTCAGAATCAGTGCAGGACAGCGCAGCAGCCCACAGACTGTGTGTGGGCTCTAAAGCTCCTTGTTATAATGCATTAATTAACATTTCATAATGTGCGAAAGGGCAACAATAGTATGTTGTTGTCTTATCTGGCACGCTGCATTTCAGGAGTTTTGTTCAGATACTGCAAATGTATTTGACAGAAGTTTTGTTAATGTTGCAAGAATTAAGTTTTTTTTTTTTTTCAGTTCTCGGCCCCCTCCTCTTCATCCTCTACATGCTCCGCCTTGGCCACTTATCCACTTTCACTGTTTTGCTGATGACATCCAGCTCTATGTCTCCACCAGAACAGTCCCCACTGTCACTCATTCGACACTCACCAACTGCATCACAGAAGTAAAGTCATGGCTGCAAACAAACGTACTCAAAGTGAACTGTAACAAATCAGAAATCATCAGAATGGGTCCGAAAGCCCTCAACAAATCCACCCACAGCTTTTCTCTCACCATTGACAGCTCCACTGTGCTCGCTTCCCCTCACATCAGACATCTAGGCACATCACTTAAACAGCCTTCTTCCACCTCAGAAAAATTGCCCGCCGCCATCCCGCCCCTATTCAGCTACAGAAACTCTCATCCAAGCTGCAGCAGTCTTCTTCACGGTACATCATCCAAATCCCTCAAGAAACTTCAGTACATCCAAAATTCGGCTGCCCGCCTGCTCACCCACTCCCTCACCCGTGATCACATCCCCCATCGAATCCACTTCAAAATCCTCCTGATCACCTACGAAGCTCTCCGTAACCTGGCTCCCCTCGACCAGAGTGAACTCCTCCACTGGCACACGGACAGCCGAACCCTCCGCTCTGGTTTTACACGTATGACAGATTGTTTGGTTTCAGATTTAAGCAGCAGTCTCTTCACTGTCGTTGTCCACAGCAAAAATAACTGAACTCAAGTCATGAACTCTTCTTTGTAGCCCAACAGGCTTAACTAATTGTTTGTATTTCAGGATATTTCTTTCTGTTACACATTGATAAACATTTGGATAGTGCTTTTTAAATCTTCACCACAGCACCATTTTTCTGGTTCTTGTACAGAAGCCTGAAGCTCTGAGCCTTGAACAAATATTGTCAGTTATTTGAAACCTGCTTACCCAACACATAAAACCATTTTAAAACAAAAAACAATCACACTAGCAACTACAGGAAAGGAAGAGCAGCTCCAAAGGATAGGTTATTAGTTACAGATAGGTTTATCATCTGTGCATTGGCAGTTTAAGGACTTTTTAAAGACAGGCTTGGCACGACAGTATAAACACTTTTAGTAGAATGCTTACGTATTTGCTGTTCAGGCTCTGGTGTACTAAACATGTGAGAATCAACACTTGCAGCAGCAGTGGCTCTCTCGCTTACAGGGAAGGACAAGAGACTAGAAATTAATTTTGGATGAATTGTATACATCAGTATAACGTTGTCTGTATGTAAGACTTTTCCTGTTGCATCATTCACTTCAGTTTGTTCTGGATGTGATGAGTTGTTAAGTTGTGAGTGGCTTCAGTCACATATATTTCTTGTACTTGAACTTATAGGTTTTATTAGTAAGTGCTGCGGGCTGTCCTTCAGCGAAACAAGACTTTAGGAACACCAGTGAAAAAGTTGGTGGTTAGTTTGAATTCCACGCAGTTGTTTCAGTTAAATCTGAAAAGCCTTTTGTTGTGACATGGGTGGCCTATTGTGTATGTAAAAAGCAAAAAGTCTTTTGTGTGGCTCCCAACAAACATTGAGGATTCATAGACCACCCATGTAAACATACCACACCAGTGCCTGCTGTAGTTACTGTTGGCTGTTAACTGCTACGAGCTGTTTCAGTGGCTTACAGTGATATCTGTGATGCAGCTTTGTGGAGTGAGGTGGTTGGAAAGACGTTTTCAGTGTTACAGCAGTTGGAACAGACTATTGTTATTGATGCATTTTAGTGTCCTATTTGAAGTTGAACATCCAATTTATTTTCAGTGTTCAGTAAAAAACCAAAATATTCAAAATATAAACTTGCAGCACGGGTATAAAATGGAACGTATCTGTGTTACTCTTACTTTCACATCTTGAGTACTTGGCAGTGCCCGGAGAGGATTACTCGTCACTTAATAGAAGAAAAAATTCACTTAAATATTTATTTACATTATCTGCCAAGACTCTCTTCAGTATCTGATGCCTATGAATATTGAACAGCTGGGAACCGTGTCAACAGTTATTGTGTCATATGATTTTCTGCAAAGGACAAAATGAAGACATTCGTTTGGCATACTGTAAAATATCAGGCAGGACATTTGTGGAGTTAGCTGATCTTGTTCTGTTTGTGAAAATCCATCCATCCATTATCTATACATAATATGTAGAGTTTCCTCATTAAAAGGTCTAAATACGATTAGACGTATATTTACATGATCCCAGAGAAATGCCGTTGGTCAGTGCCATAATGTCTCCTTGTGAACACGGGATGATGTTTTTCCTGATTCTGTCATTGCACACTCATAATGGATCAACATTATTGTAGTGTGATTGTTCTGACTGCGGTGGGCCACATAACTGTAGCTACTTTAGCTGTATGGATACTCACCTTATGGTAAGTTAGAAATGAACGTTAACATTCAAGGTTCTTGTGGCTATTTCATCAGCTGGTTTGTCATAATGTAAATAAACATGACTAAATGTAATGCAGCTTAATTCATGAAGTCATCAGTAAAAGTTTGCTATTTGAACATCGTGGTTGGTTGAACTCTTCATCGTCTCTTGTTCTATGTATTCATTTTCTGTTAAGTGGGATCTCTAGGAATGTGACAACTTGTGTTACAACTTAAGAACAAAGTGAAGTAATTTTCCCAATCCAGAGCACCAAATGGTAAAAACTTCTATTGTAGCAGAAGTTTTCATTACGGATGGGGCAAAGATTAAAAAACAGTGACACCATAGATGAAGTTCAATGCACACAGCGCTGAGAGAGGGTTCTGTCTGTGTGAAGATATATGGGCGGTCTGATAAGGTCTGGCCTCTTTGATGGAAAGCAGAACCAGAAGGCATTTGTTTTCACTTCAGGCCAGATGGTTGTGGCATTCTGCGGTGGGGATGTATGTCCCGCCAGTTCACTAATCAGAGGCGTGCTCACTCTTCAGAAGTCTCGGGTAGTAAATGTAAATCCTCAGTAACGCCGTGAATATGTCGTAATCTTACTTTCTCAAGTTAACTCTTATCACCTTCTCTGAATTTTTTAAAATTTATTTGGACTTTATATCCATTAAACTGTTTTATTTGTTAAATCTGTAGCAAGCACCTAATCAGAGGTGGTGGTAATGACGATAGCATACCTTAGTGTTGTACAACCGTTTGTTTGTCCTGAAAGTACCTGTTTACCTAAACTCTGACTCACCAGCATTTCGCTGCCCTCCGGTAAGTTATCGATTGCAAGTTGTTATGAAAAGGAGCAGATGAAAGGCAGTAAGGAAGCCGTACGGTGAAAATCTGTGCTTTCACTCAACAGCAAACTCGATTGCTTCCCCTGAGGTGATAAGCTTTAATTACCCCGATACAATCCTGGCTCATCGCTCCCCCTCCTCACCCTTGCCTCTCTCTCTCTCTTTCTCATCCCTCAGACTTGATTCAGTGCACAAATGAGATGAATGTGAACATCCCTCAGCTGGCTGACACACTGTTTGAGAGGACCACCAACACCAGCTGGGTGGTTGTCTTCAAGTCCCTCACCACCACACACCATCTGATGGTCTACAGCAACGAGGTCAGCGCCTACATACAGACAGTTCTCTGCCTTTGCTGATTTTTTTTTGGGGAATGTCAATATGAATTTAAAGAGTTTTTGTACAACAGCCTGCAAGAAAAAGTTTGTGAAGCCTTTGAAATTGCCATGATTTTATCTCACACCTGCAGACAAATACGATCTGACTGAACTAGTAACACACACATGGTTGTTATGTCTTTATTGAACACACTGCATCGTCATTCTAGGCCAGGCTGGAAAAAGTTTGTGAATGTCTACTAATGACTTCTCCTAAAGCTACTTCAAGTCAGGTGTTTTTTTTTTTCTTTCTTTTTTTCCACCCCATCGGAGCGCTCCGACGGGGTGGAAGTGGCCGGAACGCACAGGCAGTACTTAGCTGCTGATGCTAGTTTAGTTAGCGGTCACAGTTCTGTTTCTACCATCGATGGCGGCGGCGGCGGAGTGGCACATACGCTCCTCTGTTACCATCTGTCTTTACTTCCGCAAACACTGAGCACATTCACTGCATGTGATGTTCCACAATTTGCTAAATTCAAGAGTTGACTTTTTTCAGAATGCTGTTCATAGACTTCAGCTCAGCATTCAACACAATCATCCCCCAGCAGCTCATCAGAAAGCTGAGCCTGCTGGACCTGAACACCTCCCTCTGCAGCTGGATCCTGGACTTCCTGACTGAAAGACCCCAGTCAGTCCAGATCAGGAGCAGCACCTCCAACACCACCACACTGAGCACTGGGACCTCCCAGGGCTGCGTGTTCAGTCCGGCACTGTTCACTCTGCTGACTCACGACAGTGCAGCGATGCACAGTTCCAACTCCATCATAATGTTCGCTGATGACACGACCGTGGTGGGTCTCATCAGCAACAACGACGAGTCAGCCTGCAGAGAGGAGGTGCAGCAGCTAACGGACTGGTGCCGAGTCAACAAGCTGTCTCTGAATGTGGACAAGACTAAAGAGATGGTTGTGGACTTCAGCAGTAGACAAAGGGAGCATGCTCCACTCACCATCAATGGCTCCTCTGTGGAGATCGTCCAGAGCACCAAGTTCCTTGGTGTCCACCTGGTGGAGTCCCTCACTTGGTCCCTCAACACCAGCTCCATAGCAAAGGAAGCCCAGCAGCGCCTCTACTTCCTGCGGAGGCTGAGAAAAGCCCACCTCCCACCCCCCATACTGACAGTGTTCTACAGAGGGACTATGAGAGCATCCTGAGCAGCTGCATCACTGCCTGGTTTGGAAACTGCACCGTCTCAGACCGCAAGATCCTCCAGAGGACATTGAGAATAGCAGAAAAAAATCATCTTAGTGTCTGTCCCCTCCGTCAAGGACATCTACACCACACGCTGCACCTGAAAAGCCACCAGCATTGTTAGGACCCGACACACACTTCACACAAACTCCTTACACTCCTGCTGTCTGGCAGGAGGTTCAGAAACATGCAGGCCGGACTGCAACAGCTTCATCCCTCAAGCCATAAGACTGCTAAACGTTCAAGGACTGGACTAACACACAAACAAAAACACACACACTCACACACACACTCACACTCACTACCCTCATTGTGTTGTTGTTGTCCGTGTTGTATTGTCTCGTGTTCATATTGTACATGTTTGCACCACCTGTTCTTTATGTTGCACTACCTGTTTCCATATTTCTATTTTTATTTTATTTGATTGTATTTGATCTTTTTTGCACTCCATTCTTTGCACTACCACCTTAGCTCTGGATCTGGGAAACACGGTCTCATTTCACTGTGTCCTGTTCAGCTGTATCTGGTTGAAATGACAGTAAAGCTCTTTGGAACTTTGAACTTGAACTTTCCAGCCTGCCCTGGTAGTGAATACTCTGCATGTTCAATAAAAAAACATAAGAAGTACACCTGTTTGGTAGTTTGTTTTTAGAGTGTGTTTATCCACAATTTCACCTTAAATAAGATCAGACCACATTTTTATGTATGTAATTAATTCAGATTTTCTGGAAATTCCAAAGGTTTCACAAACATTTCTTCCCTACAGCTGTATCTGTAGATGTCTGAAGCCTGTGCGTTTACAACATATGGGATGTTGCATGGGGTGTGAGGTAGTAAGTTGTGCACTAGTGTTACATTCCCACAAGTAACGCTGTTACACAATAGCTGGCTGCTTCAAAACATCCACTTGCTTGTGCACAGTGCTTGTGCAGGCATCCAGAGTTCCTCATATGTTGTCTTTCTTTCAGAGATTTATACAGTATCTGGCCTCAAGGAACACGCTATTCAACCTCAGCAATTTCTTGGACAAAAGTGGCCTACAAGGTATAGTTTCACTTAGAACAAAATTCTCCATCATGTTTATGTGTGACATGGCATTTACTTTGACCTCCTTTTCTTTGTAAATCAGGCTACGATATGTCAACATTCATCAGACGGTATAGCCGCTACCTGAACGAGAAGGCCGTGTCCTACAGACAAGTTGCTTTTGACTTCACTAAAGTGAAGCGAGGGTAAGGATTACTTTCACTTCTTAGTTTTCACTCTAATTGACCAGAATGTGTTGATTATAAACCTCGGCCATAAAGCTTGAATTACCTGTTGTAGAAACCCGGCTTTGTTTGACACCCTTTGAAAGGAGACTGACAGGACTCAATAGTATTGAAAAATACCATTGCAGTACTTTTGTTTCCTACAAAATACTTTTTAACAGTTTTGTTAAAAGTTAGATAAGCACCTCAGATATATGTAGTAAAATTAGATTCCTAGTTTTTGCTTCACTTTATCATTTCCACGGCAAACACTTCCAAAGTGTGGATGTAGCTTCGTTTTGCAAACAAAATCTGTTTTTTGATGTATCTCCTTTTTTCAGTCGTTGTGGTGGACTTGGACATAGCGGGCCTAATGTGACTGATTATTTAGCATCTGATGCAGCGCAGCTGTAGTTTTTTTTTATCAGTTTTCCAGTGGTACTGTTGCAATGATGATCTGAAGCCTTGCACTACCTGTTTCCATATTTGGTCCCTCAATACCAGCTGATCTGATCTGAATCAACTGTCAACATTAACAAAATCCTCAAATATTGACAGTCAAGACTCAAAAGCTAATTTTCCACGCCGGCCCCCTACTCTGAGTTCTGATCTGAATTATCAGACTTCAGTCCAGATGAAGTCATTACAGTGGGTGACTTTAATGTCCATGTATGAACGACAACCTCAACACTGCGTTTAGTTTGTTTTTAGACTCACCAGCTCACTGTTTTAATCACACCCGAGGTCTTATTTTGACGTATGGCATAGAAATTGAACATCTGTTTTCCCCCCAACCCTCTTTTATTTGACCATTTTAATAACATTTGAATGTACAATGATGGATGATGAAACATTTACCAAGAAGTTCCATCACAGCAGATTATTTTAGTGCTGACCTCATTGCTGTCGACCATCAGATGGTGTGTGGGGGTGAGGGACTTGAAGACAACCACCCAGCTGGTGTTGGTGGTCCTTCTCAAACAGTGTCAGCCAGCTGAGGGATGTTCACATTCATCTCATTTGTATACTTGATTCCAGGACGTAATTCCATTGTTATTTACTTCAGTGTCAAATACCAACACAGTGGAAAGCAGCTCCTCCAACATTAGCCCCATACAGGTGGAAAACATCACTAAACACGGTTGGCCCTCTGAAAAAGAAAGCAATGATGTATAAAAGAGTAGCTCCATGATATTGCTGACAAATGTGCATCTTAAAGCAGACTTCATGAAGACTGGAAAGGCAGTGGCGTTCCACAAGTTCCAAAAAAATAACATTTAGCCTGAAACTGCTTATTCTTCTCCAACAGAGGAGAACAAGACTAACCCCAACTCCTGTAATGCTTTCATTGGAATTAAAGGAAACATACTAAACTGGTTTAAATCATGTTTAACACATAGATTCCAGTTTGTTCATGTTAAAGATGATTCTTCCACTCACACCAGAGTTAGTTATGGCGTTCCACAGGGCTCTGTGTTAGGACCTATATTATTTACCTTGTACATGCTCCCCTTAGGCAATATAATCAGGAAGCACTGCATAAATGTCCATTGTTATGCAGACAACACGCAGTTATATTTATCTATGAAGCCAAATGAAACCAATCAGTTCCCATTGTTGTTATCTCAACTCAAAAGTGTATTAGATGAGATCTTTTTTTTTTTCCTTCCACAGATCTGATGGAGTGATGAGAACCATGAACACAGAGAAACTCCTTAAAACCATCCCTATCATCCAGAATCAGATGGATGTGTTGCTAGATTTCAATGTGAGTGCTCAGTTCTACCTGTTGCTGTTGGCATCTAAATAAATGTTCTCATCAACACCTCCACCTATCTTCCAGGTCAACGCCAATGAACTCACTAATGGTGTGATCAACGCGGCCTTCATGCTTCTGTTCAAAGATGCAATCCGACTGTTTGCAGCCTACAATGAGGGCATAATCAACCTCTTGGGTAATAACAAGCTTCCGTTTCAACATAGCCTTGCGTATTTTTATTTCGGGCTGTATTCTGTTCCTTACTTTTCTTTGCGTTGTGATTGAAAGGAGCAAAATCAGATGGTGTGGGGCAGAGGACAGGCACTATACACTGAATTCATTTTTGCAGACATCCTATAAAAGCAAGTGCTTAGAGAATGTTTGATGCCATTCATTTACAGATTATTTAGACCTTGAAATACCAAAAGAATTAAAGAACTGTTGGCTTCCTGGAAATGCAGACATTCAGTTCTTCTTTTTTAAGATGAAGTTGATAAGGGTGTCACAAAGTTCATCTTCAAACAAAAATCAATATTCAGCAAGCTTTACTTTCTCCTGTTTTAGCATGATTTACCATGTGCTGCACCACTTCTGCAGTCTGAGGCGACCCATTTTGGTTTCACCTTGTTATAAACAAAACATGATTTGCAGTAGGCCTCAAATGTAGGCTATGAAACAGGAAGGACTTTAGAGATCACTCAAAAGATTATAGTTCTGTGTGCAGCTAAAGTGAAGCAGTAATAATGCTTGGAAACTGTCATCCAACAAACATTCCAGTGCGATGCAAAGGTCCCTTTGTGGTGTGTATTGGAACTTCTGATTTATGGTCGTCCCTTTCTTCTCCACAAGGACGTGGACCCTTCTGTGTATCACAGTAGAGTAGACACTTTCATCAAATGTTGGGATACTAACCGTCTAATTTTATGTCACTAAAACACAGAATATGATCTCTGACCCAAGGCAAGCTATTGGTCATCAGAAAGAAGACAATCAGTCAAATGTTCTCGTGTAAAAACATGGACACTTCCTTTGCTGGAAAAGACACTGATAATCTATGTGAATGGCTACAGCTGAGGCCTCACTTCCTAAGACAGTTGAGGCTGTGTGGGCAGAGCTGCTGGACCATGCTCACGTTCTACCAAGCAATCCCAGAGAGTAGCATTTTGTATGGAATTACAGAATGGTATTGTAACCTAAAGCAAACCTACCAGCGTGCATGTCGTTTGTTCTCACTTGCCTTTGTCCTGAGTATTAAACATGTCAAAATACCACACAAAACAGATTTCAGTGAATTAATGATTGTGTTTTTGTTTTATTAACAGAGAAATACTTTGACATGAAGAAAATCCAGTGTAAAGAAGGACTGGACATCTACAAGAAATTTCTTACGCGAATGACAAGAATCTCGGAGTTCCTCAAAGTAGCAGAAGTAAGTCGGGACTCAAAGTTAGCCGGTCAGACATTGCAGAGAGGATTATATATACATTCTTGCTGTTTCCATTTAAATTTTAATGCTCGGTGTTCCTTCCCTGCAGCAAGTTGGAATTGATCGAGGGGACATCCCAGATCTGTCTCAGGTAAGTCGACACACAATTATATTCATTTGGCATCTTTACAGCTACTTTGAATAACATGACTTAACTTCACATCCTGCACCTTTCTGCTGGCTTTGCTTTACTAAGAAGTGGAGAGAGTCCACAAATACATCTGGGGACTTAATATATCAAGAATGTAGTTTGAATATAAAGTGTAACATGCATTGCCAAAAACACACACATGTGCTTTCAGGTCATCCATTATCACAGAATCATGGAAAAATGCTCTCAATGTGTAGTAGTACCTGCTTCTAGAGATACTTAGTGTCTTATGTAAGTGACCAGTAGATGTATCTGCTGACTACCCCCTAGTGAAATACCATAGTCCTTACCAAAGTATGTTTAAGGCAAAGTTGGCCAAATTGCAAGAAATTAACCCAGCGTGAGGCCTTAGGATATCTACCAGCTCCAACTCCAGCATTGGAGGTGAGTTGAATTTCATCTGTGTTGTATTTGCAATAAGAGAAAAATATTGCTGTTGTTTTCCAAATTCTCAGCATTCTGGACACAACAAACAACATTCTATTGGTTTCACCATAAGTTCCGCCAGTTGTAAAAAGTGCCAGTAAAAGTAAAAAAAAAAGAAAAAATTCAAGGAGATTATCGTCTCAAGCTCAACCTTGAGAGATAAAACCAAAATTAATGCCGCAAGCGGCGATGGACGGGTCCTCACCATACGATTGTCGGCCTTCGCGCACTTCAGGGTTTAGTATAAACGTGCTCCGGGCGGGACTCTGATCCAGCGTGTCGTGTTTCCGGCAGATCGGAGCACGTGCGGCCTAGTTACGCGCCACTTCCTGCTTAGTGGTGAGCCGCGGTGGCATATATGTTGGCCGTGGCAGAAATGCGCTCTTTACATGTGTAAAGTTTTAGCCCGATCAGAGCACACACAGGCCAGTTACACAGCACGTCTTGTTTTATGGCGTTTTGGCCAAATTCCGGGGGTCGCCATTTCCATGACGTCACACTTTTGCTCAGTGTTTGAATAACTTTTAATCACCACCTCCTGTAGTTTATGCTGGCAAAAATTTCAGGTGTGTACGACCTTCCCTGTAGGCGGAGATAGATAGTTTTTGTTTGTTCCAACCTGCTCCATGTGCCCACCAAATTGCATAGGTCAAACATGCTTCCGACAGGACTCCGTTGACATTTTCAAGGGGGCGCTGTGGAGCCATTTTGCCATTAGCATGCCCAATTTCTTTAAAATATAACATTTTTCGCCAGTCCTGGTGTGTGTGGCGATTTTGGTGAGTTTTTGTGCATGTTTAGGCCCTCAAAAATGCAAAAAATAATATTAATGACAGCAGTTCCAGTCGGGTTCTATGCACTCTAGTGCTCAGACCCTAATGACCCACATACACATCAAGGACTTGGGTGACTGTTTATAAGTATAAGAAATTTACGTCTAAATATTCTTGTGATCTAACACACGCCCACATTACATTCATAGAGTTATTGATCGGTACCTAATGATGGTCTGGTCCGGTACTTGGATGTCTTTTATCTTTTTATAGCTTCTACTTATTGGAAGCATCTACTACAGTGGTGGTGAAATGCACAGTTATAATATTATATGTTTCAGTTTATGTAGCAGCACCATGACACTGCTCTACCCACTCATTTGGAAAGGACAGTCACAGAAGCTGAAGCAACAAACTCAATGTAGCTAATCCCTTAGACTGTAAACGATGGCACCTCATCTAAATCTATGCAGCTTTTGATATACGTTGTTAATTTATGCTTTTATATCTTTAGTCATATTTACAAGCTTTCACTATAGTGAGTCATAATATGAACTCTAAGTGGTTTTGTGACCTGCACCATATGAACTCACTTGTCCTTCTACGGGTTGCCATCCCCTGCAGCTTCAGGCCTAACAAGTTTTAACAGGCAATGCATGTGCCCACTATTGCACCAACAAACACCTTCCAGCTCACTCACTCCTGACCTTGCACGTTATACAGCAAATAAAGGTGTGAATCAAGGGTTTGTTGTGTTGGATATCCCACAGACAACCTGCTGAAGTGGTGCATTATGTACGAAATGTATACATCGATTTGGAGGCTTTTTCTTATGTACTGTAACCGTAGCAGATAAACCAGAATTAAACTGCTTCCTTCCTAAACCTTTTTACTAATATCTTGACTGCACCTTTATTTTCTGTATTTTTCCCTCCCTTCTGTCTCTCCATTTTCAGTTTACAGTTTGTGTAAGTATCTGAATCTTCTCTCTCTACCTCTGTGTTTGAGAATACTTCTCTTTCGTGGAGTCTTGGCAGTAACTTGGCATGCTTCAGTGCTTTACTTCCTCATAAGGTCTTGTATTAATGTGTGTCAATGGCTCTCATGCTAGGCCCCCAGCAGCCTGTTGGATGCCCTGGAGCAGCATTTGGCCTCTTTAGAAGGAAAGAAAGTGAAAGACTCGACAGCAGCCAGCAGGTAGGTCTGCTTCTCTGTTTCCCTGATCTGGCTCCATGCCATCCTGGCTTAGCGCTGGGCTAACGTGTCCGCTTCATGTCTGAACTGCACCCTGGTCACATTTCCATAAGTCACGCCGGTAGTGTTTCAAGGTTGGACCGAATGACGTTTCCGTGTCTTATTCAACACGGTACAAGTCTGCACTGAACCATCACATCAACGGATAGACACGCACAAGCTGTAGCACATAGAACTGCATGATGTGTTGGGATTTCTCCACATTTCAGCACTAATATTTGTCCAAAAGCATCACAGCAGGCATTAAATACAGAATGTGTTAAAATCACGACACACCTTTGTGGACAGATGGTTTGAGAGAGGAGTGAAATAAACCATCTATGTCAAACTGGAAAGACCATCCCTCAACAGAGGTGGAGGTCTGAGGCATCACCTCTCACCTGTTTACAATTCAGTCCTAAGATCTCTCCCCAGGAAGATGTAACCACATTCACACCGAGCCACAAAAGACCCTAATGAACCCCATTGTGGCAGGGGGAGCACTAACGACTCACATAACGAGGGGGAGGAGCAACAAACCCCAAACTGAAACCGAAACTCAGTGTTAATGACTCCTTAAGGAGATAAGTATCTGGAACTCCAAACTAGTCAGTCAGAACTGATGAAGCCTCTTGGATGAGAGGTGGAACGTCTTCAAGGAACTCAAGCAAGTCCAGTTGCTAATTAAACTATGAGAATAACCATGACCTGGATGACTGAGAATCTTCACAGACATCACACATTTCTCCATCAAGTTAGAAAATGTAACAATGAGGGCCTATTTTCAGATATTCATAACTCAAAATGTAAAACTGTAGGATTTTGCAGGTCTTTCTGTGGTTTAGGTAAAAGTTTGCATGAATTTTTTCACTAAAAAAATAACTGACATGAACTGGGAAAAGTGTGGAAATCCTGGTGAATTGGCATGAATGACCAAAGTCCAGTTGTAGAAGTGTGTAGATTTTTGATTCCAAGTCACCGTTTTTTGTGTCTTCCTTCTGATTCAGGGCTAGCACCCTTTCCAACGCTGTCTCCTCCCTGGCCAACACCGGCATATCTTTCACAAAAGTGGATGAGAGGGAAAAACAGGCAGCCCTGGAAGAAGAGCAGGCTCGCCTAAAAGCACTGAAAGTAAGTTGTTGTTTTTTTCCCCCCCAGTCACCTTCATGTCTTTTGGCTTCAGGCCAAAGCAGCTACATCCAGCATGTACTCTGTAGCTCTTGAAGGAGGAAGCAGTAGTTCTTACCCTTTGTGTTGTAGTATTCACCCTGGGGTTTTTGTGGTTTCTCAAATATTTCAGGAGAGCTCTAGTTTTCATTAATGCAGTTGTACACAAATGCATTTCAATGGCAGGCTGTGGCACTCTCTTCATGTGGTTGGGGAAAAATTAAAACAGAATAAAGTATCTAAAAGACAAAAACAAAGCAGTTTTTACCTCTGAAGCTGAAAAAGCAGAAATGGTTAAAAAAAAATGTCGTTTTTACTGTGTCACCCTTAGAAAAAATGTTTTCATCTGTTGCGAGGTTAAAGTGACCAGTTATATTAACTGACAGCCTTGAAGTTACCATTTATTTTATTAGGATCCCTTTTTGTCAATAACATCAAATGATAATATGTAGTTTGGCTTTCCTCTGCTATCGCTTCACATTTCCTGTCTCTCTCTATCTGCCAAATTAAAGAAAAATTCTAAAACGAAAACCTGATGAGAAGATTTGGACTAAGGTCTTCCAGGATGGCTGGATCCAGGTTAGAATGTATGTTGCTAACAGTAGCCTTCTATTTATTGTAGGAGCAGCGTCTGAAAGAGCTCCAGAAGAATCCTGCTGCTGTGACCACAGATTCCTCCCCAGTCGCCACCGTGGACGGGACCATAAACTCTGCCGCCGTCATCAATCTCTTCTCCACGCCCAGCTTCACCAACAGGTGATGAGACGGGATTTACAGTGTCACTCATCCTAAAGTTCCCCTGTAGCTCATCTAGCTGAGCGGGCGACCCATGAACAGGGGCTACAGTCCCCGATGTAGTGGTCGTGGGTTCGACTCCCGCTCACGACCCTTTGCTGCAGGTCTCGCCCCATTCTTCTCCCCCCTTTCCTGTCTGTCTCTACTGCTCTAAAATAAAGGCAACAGCCCAAAAAATATATTTAAAAAAAACTAAAGTTTCCTCCCTCAGCAGCCTTGTAACACAGAAAACAACATGCTTTTGTCACTGAATTATTCTTGATGCCATTTTTCTCCTGCTTGTGTCCTTCAGCTCCTCCAAAGCAGCCAACGACCTGCTGGACCTGCAGCCGGCTTTCCAGCAGCCACTGCCTCTCTCCATCACCAACACATGGGGAGGTGAGAGCACTGCTCTTCTTGGCAACACTTCAGTCCACACCGCTGCCACATTTACAAACACACATACACATGACTTACTGAGTAGCGCGCACACCTTAAACATCACCTACAGTACGCATATACAGCAGTATGATTCTCCAGAAATATTTGCACCTTTGTCGAAAGCTGTTTGTGTAATTGCTCTCACTGCTGGAAGAGGAAGACAAAAGTTCCACAATCAAATCAAGTTTATTGTCATGTTGCTGTACATACACAGTAGTACAGGCTAGATGAGAGAGCGTTTCTTCAGCATCCAATAACTTAAAGCAATTTAAATAAACAAGTGTTTGCATGTCTGGATCAGCAGTTCAGCATTCTGACACCTTGTGACATGAAGCTGTTGATCATTCTGGAGGTTCTTCCTTAAAGACCCCAAAAACATTGCCCGAAGGCAACAAGTCAAAAAAGGCAAGGAAAAAAAGGTCAAGGGCCCGCCCCCGCAACAACCCCGGAAAAAGTCCTGGAAAAAAGGGAAGGAAAACCCCAAGAACCCCCCAACCCCCCCAAACGGCCCCCGCAAGGCCTTTCCGGCCGAAAAAACGCAACCGGACGGAAAAACGAAAGGAAAGGGAATTAAAAACCAAGAACTGAACCAACGAAGGCCTTTTTTTTTTGGTCAGGTGTTGGCCTCAAAATTTTAATTGTAGCTCATGTTTTATTTTTTGCTGTAAGACTGATTTTATGCTTTATTTTACATCTGCAAGTACACCAGGGTCTGCTAGGGTCTGCTAGGGTCTGCTAGGGTCTGCTGGGGTCTGCTGGGGTCTGCTGGGGTCTGCTAGGGTCGGCATCTCAAAAGTCTGATATTTAAGCTACAGACATGTAAGAATACTTTGCCAGTGTGTCATATTGCTGTACTTTTAGCTACATGATGGGATTTTATTCTTCTGCATCATTTGTATGTGA